TTGTATTGAAGAGAGTTTTTGAAATAACTGGGATGAATCATTTCCAAAACATATGCTCAAATGATGCTCAAATGATGCAAAGAGGTGTCACAAGTAGAAGGAGGCCCTAAACTTAGCAACCTGATGGGAAAATGCGGAGAAAGGCCTCATCCAGTGTATGATTGATCTGAGTTCCACTGTAGGTGGTTGAATACAACTTACGTCCAGCATTCAGGTCTCACCTCTAACTTTTCTTCAGCTTGAAATGAACCCAAGGGACCTGTAGGCTTTTGCATTTCCACACTTTTCTCTCTCTGCACACCAAATACTCTTGGTTAGCTCTTTTAGAACCTGGATGCCCTGAAGCTCAGAGTCCACTCCGAAGGCAGAGTTCTGGCTCAAGACAGATGCTTCTAACTGGGGTTGGCTTAGACACTGTCTGCCTGTGAGCCTCTTTAAAAGGTGAAAAACAAATCTGAAGTGGCACTGTGCAGTCAACAGATTAAAGATAACATTCAGGAAAGATGATCCTCTCCAGCCAATTGAACTTGACCATAAGCCATCAAGTCCAAATGGGTTCTTGGTCCTGCATCTCAAATTCTTTCTTCCCAAACACAAAAAGAAATAATGCAAAAGGTTTACCTATGCTGTAATGCCCAGCCAAATAAAGAATAATGCAAACCACCACCAAATGCAAGAGACCACACAGCTGCTATGTTCCTGCCTTCCGCACAGAATCCGTGTATTCTTGCATTCTACTTCAGGGCTTGCTTTAAAATCTCATTACCAAAATGTTCCCAGGAAAGCTGTTTGTGATCATCAGAATGATACCAAGGTGGTTTTTTAAAAAAATCTTTTAGATCATGTCGTCGTACATGGTTTTCAGTCTTGCTGTCTGCATCCACTTTCCCCATCTAGGACCATTTTCAGCAATCTCAAGAAAATGAAAGAAAGCACTGTGTCCAAGCTGGGATGCATGAAAACCATGCCACCTCCTAGCAGAGGGCAAGGGCCACACCCCACAGCCCTGTCCTCACCCCTGTCCACTGCCCTTCCCTTTGACCACATGTCTGCTCTGCACCCTCATTGCTCTCCCAGGCCAACTCCACTCTTGCTCCCTGGCAAAAAAAGGAACAGAGTTTTATCTCCTGGGGCCATGATGTGAGGCCTGGGAGGAAATGTTGTCTTTTGGGAAATAGGAAAATTGTGCGACTACATTAAAGTCAACACTATTTATCTTCACCTCTTGTCCTATGGGCTGACAAAGAGACAGCACTGTTAGGCCCACCCCCCTGCGCAGCTGCAATAGAAAGAAGGCAGAGGCTTGTACTTTCACGTGTCAGACCTTTTGTGCCTGACTACTAGTTTATGAGGCTGATGTCAAGCATTGCACTCAATGAAGCCTTTGTCCTAGGTGTACAGGGCAGGACAGTGGAAAAACTGCCCTCTCTTCTATCCCAGGCCCATCCATCTTCCCCTCACCCTGTTTCTCAACTTTTCTGTCTCTTGAGCCGACAGAGAGAGGATCCCTCCTGGGTTAATGTACTGGAAAATTGGTCTGCATGTTTATGAGGGGGTCCCTTCCAAATGAAAGAAAAAAGGAAAGGGGAAAAAAAATGGGAAGAAGAGTCGTTTTTCCCACTGAACTCATTGGCCTTATGCTTGTGGGTCTGACCCTGATTAAGAAAATCTCAATGCCCTGCTAGGAGGTTTATTGTCAAGTTTGGCAGAGCGCACTTCCGATTGAATTTTTTTATTATTTATAATCACAAAGTGGTTTTGAACAGCTTCCATCACCCATCCGACCATCAACTACACACACACACACACACACACACACACACACACACATTCAAGTTTTACCTTTGAAGAGGCCCCTTCGACTAGTATCCAGTTTGCCTACAAACAATCCATTCTCTTCCTGGAAGGTTGGGCTGTGTGAACTTTGCCATGGACATGGAACCCAAAGGAGGCTGCCCTCCATGATAGCATACACTTAATTATTTTAACGTTTTTTTTCTAGCTAAAATTAGGATTTTCTGTCTCCAGCCTCCTCCCCCCTCTTGGAGAAATGTACTCCTTCTCTAAGACTTACCCACCAACAAAATGTCATGTAAGTGGTGAAGGCATCAACTGTGTATCAACTATGTAGGTTCATCCCTGAAGTGACACACTATCCATGTTACAAAACCAATTGGAGCCCTTCCAGAAACGTCTAAGCAAAAGTCATGGGAATGGCAACACAGAAGTTTAATTTGGCCAGATAAATTGGATATTTCCCCATAAAAGTGCTCATTCTTTGGGGACAGGAGAAAAAATCACTAGGATTCTTTTTAAGGGAAATTTGTGGAAAAGGCGTAAAGGTGACTCAAATAAAAACAGTTCATGAAAAAGTGGAATCAGCTCAGTCCTCAGCCTCCCCTTCACTGTGAGTTCTGAAGCTTCATTTTGAACATAGGACACCACTATCTGAGGCAAACACCGCATGAAGTCTTAAATAATTCCCTGGTAACTGAACGACCACCCCTCCCGTTAGGAGGTTTACTGCAGGACTGACAGAGCACGATTACAACTAGTTTTTTATTCCATTTATGTTGTCAAAAGCTGAGGAGATTCTGTGAAATGATTTGATTCTAGCATGTGAAGAATTTCCTGGGTTGTTGGCATTTTTCTCTTCATCTTTTCCATCTATATTTTTCACAAAGATTTCCCCGAATTAAAATCTAACTTTCATTTCTGCACTTTGAAATGCTTTCCCACAGACAACCCTGGGTCTCATTTAAATATTTAGCAAGATGATAAAAAGAAATGGGGTGAAGCTGACAAATCATGCCCAGGAGAAGGGGGGGGTCATTAAGACTAACACAAATGTGCAGAGGAACCCCCTAATCTCTCAGCCTGTCCCCTTTTGTGGAAGGAGGTCAGAAGTGTTTGGTGCCCGGGGCCTGCTCCCTAAAGGCTCTTAAGAAGCAGATGTTACTGTAACATGCTCAGGGAATCAAGCATAAATATGACCCCTGACCCCGGCTGTCAGCTGATCCACCGAGGCTCTTAGAAATATACTCTTAACTTTTCCAAATTCCCACTCTTTCCCACCATCCCCCTCTGCTTGGCCAGGCGCCCCCCCGCCTCGGATTTCTGAGCCTGTGGCTCCTTCTCTGGCGCTTGCACAGTTGCGCCCAGCATGACCTTTCTCTTCATGGAGGTCAAAGGCCTAAGACCTCAGGCTGGCCACTTTTCTTGCTAAAGGCCAGCTGATGAATCATTCTCAACTTGAAGGGAACAAGGGGAGGGGAGGGCTCTGAAGGCCTTTTGAGAGAAACAACTGTGGCCTATACATCAGCATTTATACTGCTCTGACACTTTCAAAACTCACGTTCCTCTCTGGGAACCAGAGAAAGAAGGGTCCAGAGGAAAGACAGAAAAGTCTCACAGACGGGGATAGAATAAATAAGAATGGAAAAACGAGAGCATGCTACCAGTCTTCAGGACAGCTTAGTGGGAGACTGTCCTGAAGAAAAAAAGAGAGAGATTGTGGGGAAAGAAGGGTGGGCATTATTCAGCACACACACAAAAACACACTTCTCTCCCAGAATTTAGTTTGATCAGTCACTTTTGACAAAATGATAAGAAGAGAACCCATGTGTGTTGTTCCCCACTACAATGAGTTTGGTCAAGAGGACTTTGTTGCACAACTCAGAATTCTCCTGATAATTACTTAGAAAGGTATAAATGACCTAAAGTTTAAAAAGGAAACTATATCTATGTCTCCTTTAAGACAATCCCACGTGAGTAGAATTGGGAGGGAGGGATGGAGCTCATTGGAAGCTAGGTAGTTGACTAAAATGCCCAAAAGGTATTTCATTTTTCATTCTCTAATTTTTCCCATACAGTTCTAGTTTTCATATTTAATCTGTAAGCAGTGTGTTTGTTACCTGTAGTCATTCGGGGGTCTTCAGGAGCCTTACAGATTGGTAAGGGTTAGGAAATATCATGGAAGATTATTAAATGTTGAATGTAGAGAAGAGTCAGCTGATTGTTCAGGCCCCAAAGATGAGAGGAACCCTGAGTTGGCCCCTAAGGGGAGTCCTAGGGAAATAGCAGCACTTGGATGATAATTTGATTTTTCAGCTTGGAGTTCACCAACTTAAAGGTCTTTAAGAATTAACCCCTATGATTCTCTTTTACCATTTCAAGGAGTTCAAAGAGCAACTCTGAAATAAGCTACACCACCCAACATAATGTGAGTTCAGAAAAAATTTTGTTTCAGTTTGTCTTCATCAAAGCCTTTAAAAAATAGCTTCTTATCAGCCTTTGCTGACTTCAAATGCCTCATATTAAATTGTTCTCATTAAAATAAAAAATGAATAAGAAATGGGGATTATATTTCCATCTTTGTCTAGAAATATATTCATGTAGATAAATAAACACTCTCTTGCTTTCTTGCTTACTTTCTCTTTCCTTCCTTTTCTTATTCTTTCCTTATATCTGGAAATGAAAGAGGGTTCTTTGTGACTGACTCTATGTTTGGTAAAAGAATAAAAAAGGAAAATAATGAAACAAGTGTTCCCCACAAATTTCCTAACCTAGATGAAATGGACTGATTCCTTGAAAGACACATACTGTGAAAACTCACACAAAGAGAAATAAATAGAAACCTGGATAAGCTTCTATCAAACTGCATTAATAATCAATAGCTTTTTCTTAAAAAGGCACTGGGCACAGATGGTTTTACTAATGAGTTCTACCAAATATTTAAAAGACAATAATACCAATTCTTTTCTGTGTTTTTTCAGAAAATGGAAACATAAGGAACACTTCGCACTTCATTGTATGATGTCAGAATTACCCTAATTAAGTAATTACCCTAATAGCAAAACCAGATAAAGACATTTCAACATAGGAAAATTACAGATCAATATCTCTCATAAGCTTAGGCACACAAATCTCAACAATATATTAGTAAATAAAATCCAGTGATGTATAAAATAACTGCAAACAAGTGGTATTTATTTTAGGTATGCAAGGCTGTTTCAACATTCTAAAGCCAATCAATACAATTCATGGCATGAACAGTCTAATGAAGGGAAATAATATCATTGTATCAATTGATGAAGAAATAGCATTTAACAAAATCTAGCATTGTTCACAGCAAAATCTTTCAGTAAAGGAAGACTAGAGAGGTATTTTCTCAGCTTAATAAAAAAAATTCTACAATCCTCCATGGAATTTGTCTGACTTTTCTTCTGCTCTGAGCTTTAATTCCAAAAGGTCACCAAAAGGAATTCTGGTCTTCAGACAACAGTGATAATTAGATACATAAATTAATTTCTTTAATTCTTTTTTTTCCCTTTTTCTACAGGTATATCTTCTGACTGCAAACTGTAAATACATCATTTGTTCAAGATACTATCTGAAGAGATTGCTTGTACCGAATGGGAATTTATTAAGTTAAAATTGTTCTTACTAATAAGTACAAATTTTTTTAAAGTTTATACCCATGGACACAGTAGTTTAACTTTTAAAAATTATCCTCTGGAATTAAAAGCAATTATTTAATACAGTTAGAAGACCTGATAATAGTAAAAATATTTTTTTAAAACCTAAATTTTCAACATGAAGAGATTAATTATAAATCAAGAAGCCCATCAAAAATCTTGTTTTCAAAGAATATTAAACACATAATAATATACCAAGAAATGATGTTATATGGAAATAGAGGGACCATGCACTTTAATTTCAAACATACACACACAAATACAGCAGAAGAAAATACACCAGTAATTGAATAATAGTTTTATAGGTAATGAGCCAATATTTTAGCTTATATTTTCATGATTAACTTGCATTTTCTAAACCTCTTCTCTTGAACAAGTATAACCTTAAGTATTCTCCATAATAAAAGTTTTACATGTGTTTAAAAATATTTTTTTATGTTTTTAAAATCACATTTACTCAAAAGAAAGTAACTGTTCAAAATTAGGACTCTCCTATGTAGTTGCTATTATCAAAATAATTTTGTCAACTTCCAATGGTGAGGCTGAGATTTAGGGAAAATAGCATTTTCTTTTTTAAAAGCATGGTCCCTTTTACTTTTCACAGGTATGATTGTTCATGAGGACCAAATATGGTGAACACATCAGTCATCTGAAAAGTAAAACACTATGTCTTGTTATTATTGCTATAAACTCACTCTAGGTAAAGATGCTAATGTATTCCTCCATACAACCAATCAGACTTACATATTTATTATGTGTGTTCAGATTAAATTATCTCCTTACTTTGATTCATTCCCATAGATTTTACTATATTCCTGGGAAGTATTTAAAGAAAATGTTTTCAGCTTTTGAGTAGTTTCTTTCTAGGTTGCAGAAGACTTTAAAGAGCGGAGGGGAAATAAAAGGATGGACGAGATCTTTTTTCACAAATCTTCAGCCCTGAAAAAATCACTATGGAAAATGAGTTTCACTGTGTCACTGATCTTTCTTCTTTCGACTCATATCCTGGCCACAGTTTACACCCTTTATTTGATCTCCTCTTGAGCAAGTCGTATATAAAATGTTATTTTAAAGAAGAAACTAATAAGAAGATATTTGCCAGTGAAAATCATTTCCAGGTATGGAAGCCCCCACCCTCCCATGGCCCCAAGCAAGCCTCTTCCTAATGAGGTGCCCTTCGAGAAGAGGAAACAGAGCTTTGACCCCTTCTGCAGCACTGGGCCTGAAGGTCTCCTGGATTCAGCCCATTGAACACGGTTAAACTGTCACGTCAGGGTAAATGACAGAACTGGGTACATTTTTTTCAATTAAATTATTATACAAATGATACATACTAATAAATGCTGCCAGTCTTCCAAAATGTACTTTCACAGGGACATGTATTTCATCTGGCAAAGGTTGCATTATGTCCGTTTTCTGAATTATGTCCATTTTCCAGTTGAAGTGTATCTGAACGGACACAACTTGAAAATGATGGGACATGGGATTCATACCCAGGTTTGTCTGATCCCAAACCTCTTCATCCCTTTTTTTGCAGTTGAGTTTTCTATTGAAACAGTCTTCTGCTTAGGAGAGATGGTAGTTGATGACCAGTTCTCAGTCCTTAGCAGGCTCTATCCACGTGGGAGAAGAACATGCAGGGTGCTGGGTGAGGGGCAGGCAGAGGGATACACCGGGGTCAAACTGCAGAGAAATCTAGAGTTAAAAATGAGGCTTTAGTATGCATGCTGTGGATCCAAAAGTCTTCTCTCACTGTGCCTGGGAAATGAGAATTTCCGAGCTATATTTTAGGTAGCTGTGTGGGGAATTGCTTATTGAAGGGGGAGACTGAGGATTCAGTTACGAGATTAGTCCGAACAGGAGAACAATCATGCAAATCCAAACGCAAGCCATTTGGGTGGGAAGGAAACCATATGACAAATGAAAAAATGTTACTAAGGTGTTATTGGTAGAAATCAATGACAAAGTAAATATGGGGGCCAAGAGATACTTAGGGAACAAACAGGATCCCTGAAACTAATACCCGTGAAACTGAAGGTGAAAATATTATGAGACAGGCTAACCAGGAAGCTTCAGTGGGGAGGCCATAATTCTCTTTGGGACTGGAATTGGACACTTCAAAAAATTACACTTCAGAACGAACCTTTGGAAGATCAGTGAGCTGTAGAATCCTTTGACATCATCTTGGTTATGTTCTATAATGATGCTGATTTATGGGGGAAAATATAATATCAGTCATTAGAAGAAAACCTAACTATGGCTAAGAATAGTTCTAGGTTCATGATGGGACTAAACAGGAAAGGGACACTATGTACTTAACAGTTGGATGTAGCTTCATGGGAAATGGCAACTACTTGGGAAAGGACATAGAGCAGCTAATCCTTAGGGATGTAAAATATGATCAATGAAATTCCTTGGTATTGCATTTTTAAAACCCCAAGAGGAAAAGATAGACAGATGGTTCTTTAAAGCTTGAGATGAACTTTTTTTCCTCCAAGAAAGAAAAGCTACACTTGCCCTTAATTTACCCTCAAGAAATCCATAAATAGAAGGATGCATGGCTTTTACTAAAATACCGTGGTAGTTTTAAATGTTCATTTAGTAAACATCATCCTCATATAACAAATGCATCAATCTATCAGATGTTGTTTCCTAACTGATTTCAACAAAAAATATAAGAAAAATCTTGATTAGTAAAGTTTTTTCCAGTGATATTGAAGTGTCCACTTGATAATCCTATGTGCCTGTATATATTTTAGCAGAAATACAGACATACGTACAAACCTTGCAGTCAGTCAATATATGAGAAACTTCCTTGTATAGACTGTTGTGACTGATGGCATCAGAACATGTAACAGAGTCTCCTTTTCAAAATGATTAATTCATGAAGTTGGCATGGAGTTAAAAACAAAAATCAAAAAAACCCTTTCCTGTTCTGTCAAGACTATAAGACTCAACCTAATAACAAGCTCATACAACAAATGAAAAATTATAAACAAAGAGTATACCTCCCCAGAGTAGGCAAAGATCTGCATAAGCACTGTATATACCTCAAAAGTGGTGGTCTGTTCTATTTCTGTATTGTTATTAATATCTGCAACCATGGGTGACTAACCTGACGTGCATTTGTTCCATGTATGACCATTTGCCCCACGCTTATGCAGGGATGGAGTTTTTTGAAGAGTATCATGGAACCAGTTTACAACCCAGCCATTCCTCCACATGGAATTTGTAATATTCAAACCGATTAGTTTATTCAAATTCATTAACTCGATAAAAACACTAACTTAACAAATATTTATCGGGCACACACTATCTAAAGCACATCAGATAAACTCATCTCTCAGATGACTTACCTGGTTGTTTGACCAAACTCACTGGAGGGATTTGTCAAAATGGTGAATCTAATTATGTGTGTAGAAACTGCAAAGTAATCAATATCGAAAAAGACCTAGATGTTTAATGTCAGTGGACATAATGATCTGGGAATTTTATCCGGATGATCAAACAAGTTTCAGATTATTTGTTGTCCTAAAGGCATCTGATGTAATGAGTCAATAAATCAACTTCAAAGGAGGACCTGGAAAGGAGACATTTGTTCTTGAATATATGCCACTGGTGAATGGGTGGGCATACATTAGTTCCTCTGTGTTTTGACGTGTCCCCCAACCATTTGTACAACATACTCTAATAGGCTTACATGGCCAGATGGCAGGCAAAAGCTGCCTTCCATAATAAATGCCACCAACACAGAAGATCCTATTATATAATAAAATACACAAAATGCATAAAACATATTCTTTAGGTGAGATTGTAATTGCTGCCAGATTCATATTGTTTCTGTTTCTGCAGTTCCTTTCTGTTACAGTGGTTAATTTCACTCATGCATTCAAATATTTAATGGCACATACTACATTGTAGGCATTCTATTAGGAGCAAGGGGTAGGGAAATGAGAAGAACATGGGAGCAAAATGATACCTAAACAAATATCTAACCAGTATACTTTGCATTATTCTTCAGTTCACAGATGACATCGTGGGGCTGAGAGGAAGAGATGACAGTGCTTGGGAGAGTCAGCATGCCTTTATGTTCCTAGGGGTCCTTTTAAAATTAAGACCTCATGAACATAGAATTAATGACTGGAGTGGATGGTGGAAGGGCAGGGAGTGAAAAGACCCTTCTTAGGTATTTCACAGGGGAGTGACAAAGTAGGGCTAGAGCATGGGTCTAAAATCCAGGTATCCCGACTTCAGGACCACTATTATAACCACTAACCCACACAGATCTCAAACTACTTACAGTGCCTAATGTCTTATAGATCCAATTTTGCACTTGACCAAGTTCTTCAGTGCCCTAATCCAAAATCCCTTAGACTTGTCTTTCCATCTATATCCTCAGTGTGTTGCATAGGACCAGTCATAAAATAGATAGTCAATAGATTTTTGTTGAATGAATTAATAGCTGAATGAACTGAGTAATGTAGGTATAAAGCAAGGCTAGGAGAAGGTAGGCAGGTAGATAGGTAGATAAATAAATACATAGATGATAGAGAAATAGATAGATAGATGATAGATACATATATAATATAAATACCAATATATATATATATATATAGGTAGAGAACATACATACTTTCTGGTACCTCTCAAATTATTCCATAAAAATAGTTCCAAAGTTGATGCTACTAGAGGTGTTGTGATATTTTCTTTTATTACTTTTACTCAAGATAATCACCAATTTTAGTGGTGATTGCCAATCCCATAGCTCAGCTAAAAAATTAGGCACTTCTCTCCTATCAACTAGATATTAAATTCAGATTATGAGTAAAATTCTGAGAAGTCTTAGTACCAAAAACCCTTTAGCAGAAGAAAAGCCCAGGTACATAAAGCTAAAAATGTGGTTTATAGGCACTCTTCTACATGAGTATGATTATTATAAAGAACAAGATTCTGAGACTGACTTTTTTAGTCTTTAATTATGACATATTGGGTAGATAGCACATACTTTTGATATTATTAAATCAGAATATTATTAGATTAAACACATACACAAGTTCACATGCTGTTAATATTATTTCAGCTCCTCATTTGCTTCTCCTTAATACATTTAAAGGACACAAACTCATCAAACTAAGCACAGCAAAGGAAGAAAACCTAGTAGGAATCTTTTCCCCTCCTTCCTCATTGAGTAATCTTGCAGGTTAGAAATTATAATCACGTGAATAAACAAATTATATTTTCAGATGCGGTGTCAATATATCCCACTTCAATTAAAATTTTGGTTGGCCTGCCACAGTTTTACTTTTGTAATAATTGAAAACATTAATTAGCTGCTAAAGAGAACATTACTTTTCTTCACTCCTCACACATGTGATCAGTAACATTTTTTCTTTTCCTTCGCTTAAAAAAATTAATAACTTTGATGATGTTTCAAAAGACTCAGAGTATTTTTCTCATACCTTCTTCCTAGGAGGAAAAATTGTTTAAATCTTCCAGATAGAATTTCTCCAGCTCCCTTAAAGAATTCCACCTTCTCAACACCATCGCATTTAACTTAATGTTTTTCAGATCTCCAAACTCTATTACCACAATGCTAAACAAATAACTATAGTTTAAGGGTCAGAGAAAAGGACCTATTGGGTGAAAGGTTGAGTAACTTGAAAGAAAAGTGTTACAGCTTTGAGAAAGAGGTTTAGCAGGTTTGGGACCTTTTGGCTGCTAGCAGCAGTCAATGCTTTCTTAGTTTTGCTCTTCACCACTAAGGTGTTAACTTTTTAGCTGCTGGGGATTTATTTAAGCTTTCTTACGCTTTCTCCTTCCATTTACTTATTAAGTTAGAGGAAACCTTACTTTATGGCCAAAACAATATTTCAGATTTTATGAATTAGCTTGTCTTAGGAAAAAATAAAGTTAAATTTGTAGCCTAAATTTGTTCTCATATTTATAACCCAATTAATTCAGTAAACATGATTCTTAAGAAACACATTGAACCATTCGGGTTAAAACAGATGTAACTCATCCATATAAAAAGCTCAAACATGATTCTTTATGTGTCTCTTCACTCAGATGAAGAAGGAAAACAACCAAGCATATACCAGGCACATTAAGGGCATGTACAGTTTTACTGTCATATTTAAATTCTTCTTTTCATCTTATTTCCCTCCTTGAGATTTTGGCAAAGAAGAGAAAGAAAAATTTTGCTGAATCTGTTTCAATGACTAGATGGCCTGTCAGTGACTAAGAATGAAAAATAACTCAGCAGTAAATGAGGAGCTGATAGGTCCTTGCAGAGATGAGAACATGGAAATTTGGCACTGATAAATTCATTCACCCATTCATTCACCTACAATTCATTCATCAACTACTGAGGCCACCAAATGTGTGAGACACAGTGCCAGGTACAAAATGTGACATCTACTAATGAAAGAGCCCTTGGAGACTGAACAAATCTAAGGAGAGGATTTATTTCAGATGGTTGAATGGAAATGGACCTTAAAGTTCAAAGAAAGTTTACTCTTTTAAGATGTGTACAGCTGGGGAGGGAAAAGTATTACAGGAACACTATCAAGGTTAAAACGGTTGTAGAAAGAGATTGCTCTGGTTCAACTGTGCCCTAGGTGTGTACATAAGTAGGTTTGGACACCAGATGTTCAAATAGACATCAGCTGTGCTAACTTCTGCATATGGTTAGATTCAGCACAGCCAGTGGCCACTCACCAGCCCCATGGTAATTCACGGACTATGGCTAAGTTATACAACCAAATCATTTCCACCTACTGGATTCATTGTCATAATCTGATGTCACAGGGAAATGTGTTTCTTTCCACCTGGAGGTTGAATTTTCCTTTGAGTAACCCTAGAGACACAAGATGAAGAGGGTGGGACCATTTTGTCCATCCGGGAAATATAAATCTATAGTGTACCCATATTTTTAGAGAACTTTCTGAGTTACACTTCTTATTATCATTTTCTCACTTGATTATAAATATTTTTGCTTATGTCTTTTGCCCCTTTAATGAGTTTCATTTACATGTATGAACTGGTTCAGAACAGAAATTGTCTTACTGGCTTTTAGATCTTGGAGTCTTAGCCTATGTTAATGAAAAGTGTTCAATATTTTTAATTGAATATGCCCCAGAGAAAGTAATGGCACATTTTTATAACTGGCTCGGTCATCTGTGATGGCTTCAGATTGGGGCTGGTTTAAGAAGTGAAGTGTGGGCCATGCCTTTCAAACTTAATCAAGTCAAAACACAGGTCTATAGTCACAAAATTCTTGTAGAACATATCAGTCCCCCAAAAGTCCCTGTTCAGCTTGTGCTTGACTGACACTTGCAGGCTATCACTACATCCAAAACATGTAAACGGTGTTGGAAAAACACTTGTTTAGACAGGTCTGACCATGATCAGGGAAAGGAAGAATGTAGTTTCTCCAGTAATATTGCTTCAGAGTAGCTAGGCACTCACCTAATGGAGAAAATGCTGACAGTAGGTATCAGCAGTTATTCCCCAAAACCATGCCCGGTGCTTTAATCTTACTGCCTGAAAAAGAAGGAGCAGCTTATTAGGTTTACAAACAGTCCTTATTTACTATGAATAATGTTCCTGGAAAAGGCATGGAATTCAAAACGATGTAAAGGGAGCTTGATTTTCCCATTGAAGCAATGGTATGGCAGGGGATTCTGTGTCTGTCCAAGGATCTGTTGCTTGATGACTTACAGAAATGACAGCAAACACCACATTTAATTAAATGTGTAACATATTTGAGAGCTGTAAAATGTAAAGCTTTCCAAGGTCTGTTGAATGCATTTAAACGGGGACCATAATGACAAGTTCTCTAACTTCTATCAACTTGTTCTGCCTTTAAGAAAGTTCCTGAAAATGATAAGGAAAAATGCTGAATTTAAATAAAATGTTCAAAGCTGATACGGGGAGAGACGATGTGCAAGACAAGCAGAGAGGAAAATGGGTCACCACACGGGAACACCGGGCACGACAATGGGTACAATGCCTGCTGGAAGATCCACAGGAGTGGCACGATGTGGGTGGACACAGTGTTGCACATGCAAATCACACCCTCCAGCTAAAGTTTAGGCATAAATGAAAACATGAAACATTGGCCCATGAGCAAGAAATCTAGCTTCCCCAGAGCTCAACGGCAGGAGCAAGTGAGGGAAGGAAGGATGGTCTGAGGAACAGAAAGAGGGAGAGACTAATTAAAAGGCCCTCTGAGTAAGTGCCAGATTGATGGCCTCCTAGCAATGACTCCTTTGCTAGTATTTCAAAAGGAAAAGGTAAATGAAATGTGGGCAGAACACAGAGCTCTCAGTTGCATTTCTGTAAAGCTGTGTGTATTTTCAGAGTACTAAGTTTTATGTGCTGAGTACAATGAGACAGAAAATCATTTAAAATTTTATACTTATTAGTGGACAAAATTAAACAGAAGGCAAAAGAAATCCTTTGGACATATGGAGATGACAATGAAGAGGTATTTTACAGGCTCCTTTATCTCCAGTGTGTTCTTAAAGAGTGAAAAGAGAGAGAGAAAGAAAGAGAGAGAGACAATTCAAT